GGAGGGGGAGAGAGAGAGAGACTATAATCATTGATTCTTGAAGGAGGAGAGCAAATTTAATGAATCTTCATTGAACTTTAAAATTGTTACTACTTACTTACTCACTAAATTTTAATGGGTTGCTCAATACTCACCCATTTTTATATATATTTACTTGCCCACCACTCTTTTAAGTCTCATCTCTCCAAATAGACAAAAATATACACGTGAATTATTGAAATCTGATGTGACAAATAATTTTGTTAAATGTTGCCAACCTGGAATGATCACATCCAAATTCGTTCTCCATCCTTCAACATTTCACAACATCTTCTAATTTCTCTCTTGAACCCTACTCTTCCAAATCCAAATTTCTCTTCTTCAAAATTGTCCCTAAAATCAACCTCATTACAGTAAGGTTTGAACATTCTTCTCTTCACTGGATAATGGCGAGCATAGGTGACCCACAAGATTCTTGTATGAAATACAATAACTGTTTGGAAGATGCACTATTGGGTGATGATGACCCACAAGACCATCATATGTTTTAAGAACTCTCCATTTACTATGAAGTTTTTATTGTCTGATTGGAAATACACTTGAAATTACGTTATTAGCTATTTTTCTATACAATTGAATTGATTTCTGCATAGCTTGATTTTCAGTCGGAAAGCTTCAAGTGCATTACTTAGGTTTGGGGGCTTTGATTATAAGATTTTGATTTGGGTTAATAATATAAACCCGTGTTTGTTTGGTGTGTTTTTGGTGACTTGGACATAATCAACGCCATCAGTATGCCACGTAGAATTTCTGTTATCCATGTGACACAAAGGAGGAAGAAGAATGAGGTGGGTTGGGTTTTGTTTTGTTTTGGATTTTTTTTAACTCAAAAAAAAGTGTTTACAAATACACGTGGCATACATTTTATGCTGATTAGGACGTTAAATATAATTTAACATACTTTTAATAATTTATGTCAAAGAATCATGGCCGCACATGTCCCATCGGAAAACAGGACCTACGTGACCCGATTTGAGAAGAATTATTGAATTTTAATGACCCATGAATTGCCACGTCCACTTCTCATCTACCATGTCAACAAATATGGTAACATATTTTTTGGGTGATGGATAGAGTGCAAATGGAAAAGGTTCAGAGAGTAGTGTAAAACATATTAAAGTTCAGTGAACAGTCAGTGACAATGCTACTAGTTGAGTGATTTTTGAAACAATTAACTTCTCCGATTTGAAAGTTTTATTGGTGGAAATTTGTAGCATTTTTTATTAAAATGTATTTTGGTTTTTCTATTTTAATTTGCCTAAGTCTTGTATGCAGTTTTTCTAAAAAGTGCATTTGGACACGAAGTTTTGATTTTATCGTCTGATCATATTTTATATTTTTTACGACTAAACTTATAAGGGTTTAAGCTCGTAAATATCTAAAATTTGATGTTACTATTTAATCAAGCTTACATTTTTATAATGTTACTGTTTTATATTCGAGGGTCTAAATAGTGTGAAAACCTAACGATTAAGTAAAGTCAAGTTCTAAGCCATGCAAGCAACAAAATTAAAGACTTCCTTTTCTTACTAACTAGTTAAATTACCAATTTAATAAAATTGATTTCCTGTGCAATTTAATCGATTTTCAATTGATCAAATCAAGCAGGTTTATTCGTTGCACATAATACAAATCATTTGCAATCGTGTCTCTCCTTTTAGTTTACCTTTTAAAAGACAATTCTTTATGTGTATTATAGGCACTCAAGAATCGTCAAATATTTGCCACAAACACTTCAATACACCAAATTTACTTTCAGGCCATAAAGAAAATAATAGAGCTTCTGCAAGGAGAGAAAAAAAAAATTGTCAATACCAATACCTCTAAAGGCAATAAAAAGATTGTGAGGAGGAATAAGAATACGACGTGATCGTGAGAATTGGAGAAGCACCAAAGAAAATATTTTGTAAAGATAGAATTTTAAACTTTTGATCATTTTTTGTTATTATTTAATTCCACAAGTCTTGGACAAGAATTGATCTGTGATATTTTGGAATGAATAATGTCATTTACAATTACTCACTATCGGAGTTGTTCTACGTAGTATACATGTGACGGTTAGTGATTTGATACATAAAGCAATAAAAAAATTACCACATTAATACATCCAATCACTAATTGCTATATGTATGCTATGTAGATAATAATGGCAGTGAGCGACTACAAATAATATTAATTTTTTGAAATTCGTAGATAAATTTGGGCTACCACAAAAGGAGTTAAAAATAAAGGCATGTTCTATTTTCTCTTTTAAATATAGTGTATTCTAGATAAATCATTTTTTCCATTTTCTTGTTTCTCTTCGACCTCCAATTCATCACCCTCTTTTTATCCTCTCCAGGGGTATCGTGATTGATAATTTTTATTCTCTCTCTCTCTCTCTCTCTCTCTCAATTTTCGTTTATATATAGAAAAAAATATTGATAAATGAACCAAAAAGAAAAGGAAAAACAAAGGTTTTTTTTAAAGAAAATGAAAACCCACTTTCCAGGAAGGCTGGAAACCGACAAATTCATCAACCGCGTCGGACATAATGAAACGACGTATCATACATATTTCTCGTACACGTTATTATGTAGCACTGTAGTGTACTGTACAAACCTTTTACGAATTGAGGACTCCATTTACACACAGAAGAAGATAGAGAAAGAGGCAGGCGGTGACGATACAGCAATTAGGTAACTTTACTGTTTTTGTCTTCTTAATCTGCGATACATATATACATATGCATGCATGTTCTATGTGTGTGCGCTCTGCAATTCAAGATTTGTTTGATCATTAATGGGTTTCTTGATTCTCCTCTGGAATCTAGTTGTATTCTATTTGCTCAACTAAGTTTAATTGTTTTGAGTACCTAAGTTTTGGGAAGGAAATAACCTATCTAATGGCGGGTTCGGGAGGTGTATGTTGAGTGTCAACATGGTTAACCCAAGCCCTCGTACTTAGACTTTACCATTCAACATGCTCCACAAGATGTAACTTGTCTGACGGCGCAAATCTTCGAATCCGACTACTAACGGATCAACTAGTCGTTTGAGCTTGAGGCGGATCGATTGCTCACTTAAGATGTTCCCAGGCTCTGATTGAGTCTTGGAGATTCATCTTAGTCCAAACCTTTATAAGTTGATTATTATTCTCATAATCAATAAGGAATTTTTATCCTGCAAGAAACCACGCGTTCTCGCTACTGCTTGTTGGCCGGTCGACAGCCCATTGAGTTTCATTTTGATGAGTGACTTAGTTACTGCAACTGTCTCTCTCTTTAGAGCTATATAAATTTTTTCTTTTCACAAAATTATTTTTTTAATCAATATTTAGTTTACTTTGCCATTTTATGTGAGATTGATGCCTATCTCCATAGGTATGAAAAACCTTTATATAAAGGGAGGAAATTGATCCGGAACTCGAGCATTTGCAAGAGAAAATTTTTCTTGAGGGCACAATGTGATGTTGTGCTCGGGTTATTGTGATTTTGATTTTATTTAGCCCTTGTTTGAAACTCTTTCTTTTTTTTAACCACTTTTTTTACACTCATTTTCAGTCACAGTCTTCAAAAAAAACATTTTCAAACTTCTCTATAATTTTTCTCCACTTTTTAATTAACCATTTAACCACACTTTCTAATTTCTATGCTCTTAGGTTGGATCTCTTCTCTTCTAGGGCCAATGTGCCTAGGACATAATTTCTTGGTACTGATCGTTTTGTGGTTCATGTCAAGGTGGCGCCTCACTTGTGGGCTTTAATTAGTAGGGGAGTAGGTGCCTTACCAAGGTTCTCCTAAAAATCACTTCTCAAAAATCAACTTCACACAAGGGCTTAGCTTACGCATTTAATTTTGCAGTTCTGTGAATTCTATTTGCCAATTCATGCATACTCCAATTGAAGATCATTTTCGAGCTCTCAAACGTATTTCATGTTATGTTAAGGGCACGATTCACTATGGATTTCAATTAGAACGCAACCCCTCTCCAGCGTTGCTTGGTTATTCAGATGCAGATTGGGCAGGTTGCCGTGACACCCGTCGGTCCATTACATGTTATGTCATATTTTTTTAGATCCAACTTAATCTCATGGTGTTCCAAGAAACAAGTCACTGTGTCCCATTCCAATGCCAAGGCAGAATATCTAGCCCTAGCCGTAGCCGCTGCGGAAGTTTCTTGGATTGTTCAACTACTTCGAGATCTTCGTGTCCAATTGCCTTCAACACTAAAGATTCTCTGTGACAATCAAAGTGCCAATTTTATGGCTCTCAATCCGGTTACTCGACCTCGTTCCAAGCATATTGCCATTGATTATCATTTTGTTCGAGAATTAGTTGCAAATGAAAAATTGGATCTTGGTTTCATTCCCTCCGTCCTTCAGCTGGCGGATTCTCTCACCAAAGGTGTCTCCAAACCACAATTTCTACTTTTTCAGAACAAGCTTCGTGTTATCTGTTCTCGCCCACTCAACTTGATGGGGGGTTGATAAGGAAGAATTACCAACAGAATAATTCTATCCTTGACTCTAACTAATCCTATTGTTGTCAATACTGTTATTTCTGTTGGAAATAATACTGTGATTGAGGATATTACTCCTCAATCACAATCTTCCCATAGCATGCAAATGCCAATCACGTAATTGAAGGAGGCTAATTTACACGGTTTCCATTTCATTGTAAATTATTGATTTGTATTCCATTTATACTATCTTGTAAAGCTCTATATAATGCAATACGATACATCACTGAAATTAAAGTGGATTTTTAATCATTCTTATGGTATCAGAGCCAAGTGGTTTAACATACATACCACATATCCTGTTCTTCTTCTTCCATTCATGGCTTCTGAAACTTTTGCCACCCTTCTTCCTTTCAATACCTTAATCCACATGATCACCATTAAACTTTCCTCCTCAAATTATCTTCTCTGGAAAGCCCAACTCCTCCCTCTTCTTGAAAGTCAAGAATTATTAGGACATGTTGATGGCACCCTTGTGTAGCCCCCAAAACTTGACGCTACCACTTCTCTCACGCCAAGTGACAAATACCTAGCATGGAAAGCTATTGATCAGCGCCTCCTCAGTTTGTTACTTTCCTCCCTCACAGAGGAAGCCATGGCTAAGGTAGTTGGCCTCTCCACCGCACAAGACGTGTGGCTGGTAGTAGAAAATGCATTTAGCCATCATTCTAAAGCTCGAGAACTACGCCTTAAGGATGACTTGCAATTAATGAAATGCGGAAATAGATCGGTTGTTGAGTATGCCCATTCTTTCAAAGCAATTTGTGATCAACTACATGCAATTGGTTGTCCAGTTGATGGTACTGACAAGGTGCACTGGTTTCTCCGCGGGCTCGGTACTGATTTCTCTAGTTTCTCCACAGCACAAATGGCCCAAACTTCTCTGCCCTCATTTGCAGATTTAGTCTCAAAGGCCGAAAGTTTTGAAATTTTTCAGAAATCCCTTGACTCATCTTCTCCAGCAGCGACAGCCTTTACTGTCACAAAAAATTTCACCCATCGTGGTGGCTTTTCTCGTAGTCATCGGGGTTGCTTCGGTGGGCATGGCAGCACTTCATCTGGTCATGGACAAGGACGCTCCAACTACAGCCAATGGCGTCGTCCACCAAGATGCCAGATTTGCAGGATGGATGGCCACTTTGCCGATCGGTGCCTTCAACGCTATGATCAGAATGAGACACCAGCTCACCTTGCTAAAGCCTCACGAGATCTTGTTCTCTAAATGAAGATGTGGGCTCTTACTGGTATTTGGATACAGGGGCTTCAGCCCATATGACCATGGATCACTCTAAATTGGATCAGACCACAAATTACATGAGTAAGGATTGTGTGGTTGTTGGGAATGATGCCTCACTACCCATTACCCATACTGGTAAAATTTCCCCTACCCCAAATCTACATCTTCTTGATGTCCTAGCTGTACCTCGCCTTACCAAGAATTTACTTTCTATCAGTAAATTAATATCAGATTTTCCTTTATCTGTTACCTTTACTAATAACATATTCACTGTATAGAATCGCAAAACAGGAAGGGTGGTGGCAACCGACAAGCGTGATGGAGGCTTATATGTGCTTGAGCGAAGTCATTCTACTTTTATTTCTGTTCCTAAAAATAAATTGCTTCGTGCGTCCTATGATTTATGGCATGCACGACTTGGACATGTCAATCATTCTGTTACTTCTCTATTGAATAAAAAAGGCCAGCTTTATCTTACATCTTTGTTGCCTTCTCCAACTTTATGTAGCACATGTCAAATTGCTAAAAGTCATAGCTTGCCTTATTCTCGAAATGAACATAGGTCATCGAAAACACTTGATCTTATCCATTGCGACATTTGGGGTCCGTCTCCAGTCAAATCTAATTTAGAATTTGTCTATTATGTCATTTTTATCGATGACTATTCTCGTTTCACGTGGCTCTATTCTTTAAAATTGAAATCTGACTTTTATAATGTTTTTATTCAATATCAAAAATTTGTGGAAAATCAATACTCCACTCGAATTAAAACTTTCCAAAGTGACGGCAGTGGTGAATTTACCAGTAATTTCTTCTAAGATCATATCCGCTCTAGTGGCATTCACCATCAGCTCTCATGTCCATACACACCCGCCCAAAATGGTCGTGCTAAAAGAAAACATCGCCATGTAACTGAGATGGGATTAGCACTCCTTTTTCACTCCCACATTTCTCCTCGCTTTTGGGTTGACGCGTTTAGCACTGCAGCTTACATCATTAACCGCTTGCCTACACCACTCCTTGGAGGTAAATCACCTTTTGAGATTTTGTAAGGTAACCCTCCGAACTATGAAAACTTTCACCCTTTTGGTTGTCGTGTGTATCCTTACTTACGAGATTATATGCCTAACAAATTTTCTCCTCGCAACATCCTATGTATTTTCCTAGGTTACAGTCCCTCTCACAAAGGGTTTCGTTACCTCGAGCCTTCCACCTCTAGGCTCTATATTACTCGCCATGCTTAATTTGATGAAACTCATTTTCCTTTCATTGCTACCTCTCAAGCTCAACCCATATCCTCCCTTAACTTTTCCAATTTTCTGGAACCTAGCCTCACCTATGCAGATCCACCTCCCCCACTCCCTGACACTCGTTCTTCACAACTCACTCAATCCAGTTCTAATCCATATATTATGTGTACTGATCCAGTGATTGAGTCTTTGCAGGATCCTCATTCTCTTGCAGGTACCTCTTTACAGACTTCGGTTCCAAGTTCATCTCCTCTTGAACCTCGTGCAGATCTCACACCTACTGCAGTGGTCTCGTTGGCCACTCATCCTATGCTTACAAGAGCTAAAGCTAGCATTTTCAAGACTCGATATCCAGCCAATCTTAGTTTCTTGGGCTTTTCTGGTCTTCTTTCTGCTCTTTTTGCATCAACTGAGCCCAAAGGTTTCAAATCTGCTGTTAAAAATTCTGCTTGGCTTGCTGCCATGGATGAAGAAATTCATGCATTACAGAATAATCGCACCTGGGTTTTGGTAGCTCGCCCTGCCAACACCAATATTGTGGGCTCCAAATGGGTATTCCGAACCAAATACTTACCTGATGGATCCGTTGAGCGCCTTAAAGCCCGCCTTGTTGCCAAAGGTTATACACAGGTCCCTGGTCTTGACTATACTAATACTTTTAGTCCCGTAATCAAGGCTACTACTGTTCGGGT